TCTCCCCACAATATTACTAGAAAGACACAACCTGACAGACTTGTACACAAATAATATTGAAGATGTAAATAGAGAGACAACAATGAACAAACAACAACCACAAAAACAGGAAGTGGTATCAAGAGATCAGAAAGAGTCAAAACCTGTGCATTGAAATTCACCTGTAATACCCTAGAATTTGCAATATCTGATTATGCGTCCAGTGTTACAATATGAAAATATCCAATGTTTATAACACATCAGCTGACAATATTAGATCCTATCAGAACTTTAAAATCCATTAAGGATTAGTTGGGGTATCCTGTATCATTACCAGAGAGTGTCATGAGTAAATTTATACAATCACAGAGTTACGAAGAGAGGGCCAGGCCTCAACTGAAGTTACTGTGAGACAATTTTCTTGATTGGACAGTCTTTTATCTGAACCTCTACAGTACATTTGGAGCTCTACAATACATCTGGAGCTCTACAGTACATCTGGAGCTCTATAATATATCTAAAGCTCTACAGTACATCTGGAACTGTACAGGACATTGGAAGCTCTACAGTACATCTGGAGCTTTACAGTACATTTGGATCTCTACAGTACATCTGGAGCTCTACAGTACACCTTGAGCTCTACAGTACATCTGGAGCTCTACAGTACACCTGGAGCTCTACAATACATCTGAAGCTCTACAGGACATCAGGAGCTCTACAGGACATCAAGAAATCCACAGAACATCTGGAGCGCTACAGTACATCTGGAGCACTACAGTACATCTGGAGCTCTACATTAAATCTGGAGATCTACAGTACATCTGGAGCTCTACAGTATATCTGGAGCTCTACAATACATCTGGAGCTCTACATTACATCTGGAGCTCTACAGTACATCTGGAGATCTACAGTACATCTGGAGCTCTACAATACATCTGGAGCTCTACAATACATCAGGTGCTCTACACTACATCTGGAGCTCTACAATACATCTAAAGCTCTACATTACATCTTGAGCTCTACATTACATCTGGAACTCTACAATACATCTGGAGCATACAAATGCATTCAACAGTGGTATGTGAAAGGACATTGCTGAAATGGTGGGTCACAAATAAACTGTTATCTATATTTTGCTGATTGCATGAAGAGAAGAGACATGAAATCATGGCATAATAGACAAGACCTTTGTAAGAAAGTAATTCCTTAGATTGTCATTATTATATAATATTATCTAAGCTGCCAGCCTACTGTCATCTTTTCTTACTTATTTTCCAGTAATCAATAGACAATGTATTATTTACGAAAGTGCCTGTAGTCTGTAATGTCATTTGTGTAAACCACTGAGAAAATTCTTAGGTTTGCATTCAGTATGAACAAAAAAATTGTGAATAATTGAAGAATTTGTTATTTTATAATTGTCTTTTATCATTATCATTGGTACTTGACAATTGTTTGAGTGCAAGTGTTCCCTTGAGCTTACTGAAAACAATCTTTCTGTTAAGTCTATCTATTAATGCAGAGGTGTGCCAAAGGTATTATGTGGTAAAGGAATTAGAAAGGGATAAAAAAAAAACATATATAATAGATATATAAAGCATATCCTTCATAGTTTTATATAAAAATAAGGACAAATTTGAAGAACAATGCCAACAAAACACATATGGTTGATAAATGGTGTATCCAGTTTTGTTTTCTCTTATTTGAAGAAATGAATAATGAAATAATTAGAATATGGATAGCAGGTAAGTCCATTAATGAAGGTGGGGAATCTAAATTAAAATAATAGAATAATACTTCGCCAATTAAAGTTTATATGGTGCTTTTTTTCAAAAATATACATAAGTATGAGTCACAGAGCTTTTTGTTTAGCTACAGGTTGGGCAAAATTGTCAGATTTTGTACAGATTATATATGGAAAAATCAAGTTTGTGTGAATAGAAAAAAAAAAACTATAAAATTGAAAATTGGGTCATGTGACTAGTTTGCTGGATACAAGACAAAATACAGTGAAACCTGTCTAAACCAAACATCTTCAGGACTTAAGACTTTGTTCGGTTTTGGCAGATGTTCAGTTTAATCAGGCTCACAACGCATAACATTTGATATGACTGAAATCATATTGAGAACATGTTTGGTTTAGACATTTTTTCAGCTTATACAAAATTTGGTTTAGAAAAGTTTCTCTGTAATTTGATTTACTGTATATCCTTTAATAAAAGTTAAATGGTCTGAGTTATGTCCCCTTAAATGGCTAAGTTGAAAAATATTGAATCAAGCAACAATTATTCTGTTTTTGTAAAACAGTAGAAGTCAAAAGATAAATCATTATTTCAGATGAAAAGTCTGACAAATGAAATGAATTCCTCTCCAAAAATTTGCATAGTTCATTAAATATCTACCGGTATGCAAATTGTTTCCTTCTTCTATTTTACAATGCAAAATGCAGAAGGCACTTAATCTACCTGAATAAAAGAATATATAAGTAAATTCCTTAAAAATAACTATGATTTTATTTTTCTTACATTACATTTCTGTGGTGTATTAAATGTCAAATTTTGTAATACTACCCAAATTGGGAGGTAATTTTACACTAGTACATGTATCATAATTGGTTTATTGTTTGGAAAATGATTAAATAAATTATATTTGACATTTTTAAATAATTATCAACTTCCCAGTATTAATATGATACCTATTTCACGGTATTTAAAAAAATATTACCAAAGCCTGGAAGATGAGGGGGGCTTTTATGTACATACAGATTGTAATAGTCCATTAAATTATCTTGTTACATCATCTAGGTTTTCCACAGTTACTTAGATTTTTTTTCTAAAATGTTCATATTTAAATAGTCAATAACAATTTAATGGGTTTATTGTTGTATAACTTTATATGATTCATGTAACTAACCTTCAGCAAGTTGTATTATGTAATAGATGTAGACATACTTTGATTTGAATTTTAGAACATTATAAATATTTAAAATTTTAAACCTTAAAATGTACTAAGATTGCAAATCAAAGAAATCAAATTATGATTTGCAATTTTTGTTGCATTATAATATGTTAAAATTTTTAAAAAGAAGCTCATACCATGTATTTAAAACTTTGAGTTAACAGAATTATATTTTTAGCTCACCCAGCCCAAAGGGCCAAGTGAGCTTTTCTCATCACTTGGCGTCCGTCGTCGTCCTCCGTCGTCGTTAGCTTTTACAAAAATCTTTTCCTCTGAAACCACTGGGCCAATTTAACCAAACTTGGCCACAACCTTCATTAGGGTATCTAGTTTAAAAAATGTGTCCGATAACCCTACCAACCAACCAAGATGGCCGGCATGGCTATAAATAGAACATAGGGGTGAAATGTAGATTTTGGCTTATATCTCTGAAACCAAAGCATTTAGAGGAAATCTGACGTGGGTATAACTGATTATCAGGTCAAGATCTATCTGCCCAGAAATTTTCAGACAAATCTGACAACCCGTTGTTGGGTTGCTGCCCCTGAATTGGTAATTTTAAGGAAATTTTGCAGTTTTTGGTTATTATCTTGAATTTTATTATAGATAGAGATAAACTGTAAAAAGCAATAATGTTCAGCAAAGTAAGATCTACAAATAAGTTGTCATGACCAAAATTGTCAGTCAACCCCTTTAGGAGTTATTGCCCTTTATAGTCAATTTTTAACAATTTTTCGTAAATTTTTGTAATCTTTTACAAAAATCTTCTTCTTAGAAACTTCTGAGACAAATTTAACCATACTTGGCCATAATCATTATTAGGGTATCTAGTTTAAAAAATTTGTCCGATGACCCTGCCTTCCAACCATCATGGCCGACATGGTTTAAAATAGAAGATAGGGGTAATGCTGTTTTTGGTTTATATCTCTGAAACTAAAGCATTTAGAGCCAATCTGACAGGTGGCAAAAATGTTCATCAGATTTAGATTTATCTGCCCTGAAATTTTCAGATGAATCCGACAACCCATTGTTGGGTTGCTGCCCCTGAGTTAGTTATTTTACAGAAATTTTGCAGTTTTTTATTATTATCTTAGATATCATTATAATATCTAATATCTAATACTATTAATTATAATTTTAACCTTATTTTACATGATTTCCAAATCATCAGTAGATACAGGTGAGCGACACAGGCTCTTGAGAGCCTCTAGTTTGCAATAGTGACTGTATGGCCCTGTTCTTTTAAGTCAATCAAATATTACTAGCTTCTATCCAGTCAATATATCAAGGTTGAAACTATGGGCAGATCAAAGATGAGAGGATTTGAAAGTCAATGTTAGGGCATTTCCATAAAAAGAATGTCCTGACTATAGAAATAAGATCTTGTAAGATCAATAGATATGTTGACTGAGAAAATTGACATCTTATTAGCTGATACTTATTACTGCTTGTGTTTTCATAACAAAATATTATGGTGACAGAAATTGATATTACTGACCATGGAAAGGAAGAAGCTTCTAAATTGTGTTTACTCTTTACCAACCAAAGTGGTACTTTGCTCATGTATTTGTATATTAAGTTGTTTTTGTTTTTGTATGAGGTAATGACTTTATTTGAATAGACCTTTCTTGTAAATAAGATTATAACCTATAAAAAAGTTAGCATCCAAAGCTGGTTCAATGATTTTACAAAAAAGTAATTTTTACAGATAATGTTATTGTTATTATTGACAATCATGTACAAAAACCTGCCCTGTGACTTGGAAAAATGTCAAAACAGCTAAAGTTCAAGCAATTTAAAATCAATGTCATTTCAAATATTTTCCATCAGATTTTTTAGAAACAATTATTCCTTAGAACTTTTTGTGTTCTTGACACAGGAAGGAATTGAACTTGAGCTTTTCTTTTTTTGTTTCTTTATTTGAAACTACCAGTAATTAAGTTGCTATTTTGCAGTTGTGTTTTTTAAACATTTGAGGTCCTTATTTAATTCAAGATAACATAAAGCTTAAGATTTGTTTTGCTTTAAAACCTATTTCATTTAAACTAATTTTATTATTTCAGGGAGCCTAGAAGAGTAAAATTAAAGAAAGGATCAACAGGTCTAGGTTTTAATATAGTAGGAGGAGAGAATGGGGAGGGAATATTTATATCATTTATACTGGCTGGTGGACCTGCAGATCTGTGTGGAGAACTCCGTAGAGGTGACCAGATTCTTACAGTAAGTTACATGTACTTATATGGTGTAGCATCTTTTTATACGACCGCAAAAAAAATTTTGTGGTCGTATATTGGTATGACGTTGGCGTCGTCGTCGTCCGAAGACACATTGGTTTTCGCACTCTAACTTTAGTTTAAGTGAATGGATCTCTATGAAATTTTACCAAAAGGTTCAATACCACAAAAGGAAGGTGGGGATTGATTTTGGGGGTTATGGTACCAACAGTTCAGGAATAAGGGGCCAAAAATAAGCATTTTTGTAACTTCCAGACATAACTTGTGTGTTAGTGTATGGATCTCTCTGACATTGTACTACAAGGTTCCATATAAAAAAGGAATGCTGGGATTGATTTTGGGGGTAATTGCCTTCAAATTTTAGGAATTAGGGGCAAAAAACAAGCATTTTTCTAGTTTCATGACAATAACTTGTGTGTAAGTGTATGGATCTCTCTGACATTGTACCACAAGGTTCCATATCACAAAGGGAATGCTGGGATTGATTTTGGGGGTAATTACCTCCAAATTTTAGGAATTAGGGGCCAAAAAGGGGCAAAAAACAAGCATTTTTCTAGTTTCATGACAATAACTTGTGTGTAAGTGTATGGATCTTTATGAAATTGTACTACAAGGTTCCATGTCACAAAGGGAAAGCTGTAATTGAGTTTGGGGGTAATTGCCCAAAACATTTAGGAATAAGGGGCCAAAAATAAGCATTTTCCTAGTTTCCAGACAATAACGTGTTCAAGTGTATGGATATCTCTGAAATTGTACTGCAAGGTACCATACCACAAAGGGAAGGCTGGGATTGATTTTGGGGGTAATTGCCTCCAAATTATAGGAATTAGGGGCCATAAAGGGGCAAAAAAACAAGCATTTTTCTAGTTTCAGGACAATAACTTGTGTTCAAGTGTATGGATCTCTCTGAAATTGTACTCTGCAAGGTACCATACCTCAAAGGGAAGGCTGGGATTGAGTTTGGGGGGGATGAATCATAAGGGGGTTAAAAAAATTGGGGGGGGGGTGGATTTCTTTTTTCCTTTTTTTTCTTTAAAATTTTCCATTTTAAATTGGTTATTACTGATTTATATATAAAAGCAAATAATAATGATATGGTTTGAATAGGTAAATTAAAAATTTTTAAGTTCTTAGACCACATTCATTCTGTGTCAGAAACCTATGCTGTGTCAAATATTTAATTACAATCCAAATTCAGTGCTGTATCAAGCTTAAATGTTGTGTCCATACTTGCCCCAACTGTTCAGGGTTCGACCTCTGCAGTCGTATCAAGCTGCGCCCCAGCGTAGCATTTTATTTTCTCTAATACTATGAACAGAGTGACTTCAGAGTTTGGTCTGCAGCTTGATGCTGAAAAGGTGTTCCCAGCTTCGAAACCAATACTACAAATGGGATAATCGAACTAGTAGAGTGAATTTTTAAATCATAAAAAGTAGGTTAACGCCCCCACAAATTTGTCTGCCTGTCTGAAGTCTGGAAATCTGTCAGTAGTTGTTTTATGTCATATGTTAATGATTTTTTGTGATTTGGAGTTTATAGCAGAACTTTGTTGGTTTCTGTTTCATTTATTAACAACTTTTATGAATCTAGACAATGTAGAGATTGACATTGTGTAGACACCATTCTATTTGTTCAAGACTGCATGTTGCCCTACAGATGTCTTTTGGTTTTCTGTTGTAGGGTTACTATCTCATTGTCCAATAATTTACATCTCCTTTTATTATTCATAACTTATTAGAATTTAATTATTTTAGGTTAATGGTGAAAACATAAGTATGTGTACACATGAAGAGGCAGCAGGTATATTAAAAGCTGCAGGAGACACTGTGGTGTTAGAAATACAATACAGACCAGAGGGTAGGTATTCTATAGGCTGCAGGAGTGGAAAAAATGGCCATGTGATTTGATCCATAATCTTTTTGCGTTGAACAAAAAAAAAATCATATATCTTAATAATTGAGTGGTTCTGACAAGTATTTATTTTATTGACCAGTTTTTGTCTCGTCTGTTGCGGAAAAGCGGTGGTGGCGTCAACAATTGTTAAGTTTTCTTCTTATGTTAGTTTGATAGGAACTACTTGTGATAGATCATTGACATTTTATATAAAGTTGCATTACTATCAGTACATATCAGTTTGATGACTATTTCGAGGCCCTGCCCCCTAGGTCATGGTCAAGCAACTTTGAATTAACTAGCAATTTTCAATGTAAAGTTTTCTGCTTAAGTTAGTTTGATAGGGACTTCTTGTGATAGATCATTGATATTTAATATGAAGTTGCATTACTATCAGTACTTCTCAGTTTGTCGACCATTTCTAGGGCCTGCCCACAAGATCATCGTCCATCGATTGTGAATTAATAAGCAATGTTGTTGTCCATCAGATTGTCTTTTTTCTGAATTATTTGCAGACAGCCGAGAAATATCTCTGTGTCAACAGTTTATTTACCAATTTTTTGCGATTTTGCCTTATATCATAAAAGCTATAATAGATAGATAAAAAAAATTATGTAGCAAAAATAATCAGCAAGACAAGATCTACAAATAATATAATCAAAATCGACTATTTAATGAAGTTATTACCCTTTTAATGTCGATTTTTCCTATTCTTGTCTTTTAACTTGAAAACTGTAGTAGATAGATAAAAACTTTAAATAGCACAAATGATCAGCAAGACAAAATCTGCAAATGAGTCATAATGGCTGAAATCTTCAATCGAATGGTTTGGGATTTGTTGCCATATATTGATAATTTTTTACATTTTTTGCCTTTTTTGCCTACTATCTTGAAAACTATAATAGATAAATAGAAACTTTGAAAAGGAAAAATTATCAGCATGATAAGATCACCAAACCTTTGTTTCAACAAGAATCTCCTTGATCACAAATGAAACAATTTAGTCGTAGGCACTTTTCTGAAAGGTATGAAATGTACGGAGATATTCTGGAGGGAATCATTAAATTACTTAATTTGTTGTATAAGTTGTAGATTGACAAAAAGTGTTTTTCTTCAGAATATAACAGATTTGAAGCTAAGATACAAGATTTACGGGAACAGATGATGAACACAAGTACTGGTAGCTTACGAACAACTCAAAAAAGAACACTGTTTGTCAGGTAAATAAGAAAAGTTGTATATCTTACACATTTAGCAGTATAAATGTTTCTCTCATTGATGCATTATAATATAATGTCACTGCAGTATATGACACAAAAGAAAATTTGAATAAAATAAGGGGCGAAAGCTTAATCATATATCTCTAAACATCAGCGAAAGCTACAAACTTTATTAAAGTCTTTGAGACAGTGCTTAACAAACCATGAATACCAAAAATTAAACATGTGAAGGTAACAGAAAGTCTTTAACAATGAGTGCTTGTCCATACAATAATAGAGCTTGAAATTAAATAGTCTAAAGAAGGTAAGAAAGCAGCACAAGACTAAAGAAAACTGAAAGTTAACTGGTAAATTCTGTTATTGGACAAGAACAGAAAAGCAGTACCATTGACAAAGCTTCAGACTTGGTAGGGTTAAACTTGGTTATTAAATACTCTGAAAACACATCTAGTACAACAATATTGGATCAGAGATGACATGAATGATTTTAATAATTGTATCAATTGATGCAGACAAATACTGACAGAAGGTCCAAAATATTGTCTGCATAAGAAAGTAAAGAAATGCATAATAATTTACTTTTACTATAGAGCAACCTGTTTATAGAAGTTATTGAAATCCAGTTTCTAGTTTTTCTTTTTCATTAGATTGAATTTGCAAATCCATACCTGCAACACTCTGTTCTAGTTCTGTCAAGTCTTGGCTAAGACTTGTGATTTCTTTTTGAGACATTTCATATTTTGTTTTTAATATATTGATAGTTGATGAGTTGATCAGTATGATCATGAATATGATTGAAAATGTGTATTTTGTGTAGTAAAATATACACTGCTTTAGTGGAAAATGATATTCTGTAATACATACATTGAATCTCTGCCCCACTATACAGTATAAATGCCTCAAAAATTCTTTGAAATAGATCAATGGCACATCCATTACATGGCCGACCTAAATCTAATTTTAAATGCATATAGCTTCCAGCTATTTTATTATCTTCCTTTGTTTAAAGTGATCAATGCATTCTATCAGAATTGTACCAAAAAAGGAAATGTGGATACAAGTCAATGAGACAGAATCTGAATTAAAAAAAACCCAATGCAACTACATGGGTGTTATAGAAAATCACTTCTTCTGTTTAATAAAGATTTCTGAGCATAACAGGAAAAACTGTGAATTGTCATCTCCATGGTTCTAAGTGTTTCTTAAATCATATCTTCTTGAATACATTAATAAGCTGCCATACTTTGAAATGTATTGTACAAAACTGTTCATGATAGTAGGAGAGTTCTGGGATAGTTGTTGTTTTAATGTGGAGATTGAAAAAATAGTTTCACACAACATTTTTCTATGCACATGCCCAGTTTTTGTCAAGCCTGCGACTTTTGTCGCAGAAAGCTCGACATAGGGGTAGTGATCCGGCGGTGGCGGCAGCGTTAGCTAACTTCTTAAAAGCTTTATATTTTAGAAGCTAGAAGACCTGGATGCTTCATACTTTGTATATAGATGCCTTATGTTACGAAGTTTTCGTCTGTCATGTCCATTGTCCTTGACCTCATTTTCATGGTTCAGTGACTTCTTGAAAAAAAAGTCAACATTTGTTGTAATGTTAATTTCTTTCTTATTATGAGTAATAGGATAACTATATTTAGTATGTGCATACCTTGCAAGGTCCTCTTGCCCGTCAGACAATTTTCATTTGACCTTGACCTCATTTCATGGACCAGTGAACAAGGTTAAGTTTTCGTGGTCAAGTCCATATATCAGATACTATAAGCAGTAGGTCTACTGTATTTGGTATATGGAATGATTGTAAGGTGTACATGTCCAACTGGTAGGTGTCATCTGACCTTGACCTCATTTTCATGGTTCAGTGGTCAAAGTTAAGTTTTTGTGTTTTGGTCTGTTTTTTCTAATACTATATGCAATAGGTCAACTATATTTGTTGTATGGAAATATTTTATGATGTACATGTCAGTCTCGCAGGTTTTATTTGACCTTGACCTCATTTTCACAGTTCATTTCTCAGTGTTAAGTTTTTGTGTTTTGGTCTGTTTTTCTTCAACTATAAGCAATAGATCAACTATATTTGTTGTATTGAAGGATTGTAAGGTGTATATGTCTGTCTGGCAGGTATCATCTGACCTTGACCTCATTTTCATGGTTCATTGGTCAATGTTAAGTTTTCATGGTTAAGTTTGTTTCTTAGATACTATAAGCAATAGGTCAACTATATTTAATGCATAAATTGATTGTAAGGTGTACATGTCTGTCTGGCATGGTTCATCTGACCTTGACCTCATTTTCATGGTTCATTGGTCATTATTAAGTTTTCTTGGTTAAGACTGTTTCTTAGAAACTATAAGCAATAGGTCAACTATGTTTGGTTTATTGAATGATTGTAAGGTGTACATGTATTTCTCGTTTGGTTTATCTGAACTTGACCTCATTTTCTTGGATCATGTTAAGTTTATGTGTTACTTGTAGTAAAGCTTTATATTTAGGACTATCAACATAAAATCAATGGTCAGTAAAGAAGGCGAGACATTTCAGCATGTGCACTCTTGTTTACACAAACAAATTAAGCAAATATAATGATTTCCACTTGAAAAAAATTACCACCCTGTTCTAGTCTCACCCATCTTCCTAATGATGTTGTACTGATCCCAACACTGCGTAGAATTTTTACATTATTATGTGACTTTTGTGTGTAAAATGAAATGAACAGGATAAAACAGACTATTTTGGAATTAAAGTATGGCTATAAATTCTGTGATGTTTTATCTAAAACTTGTTTTTCTTCTTTACAGGGCATTATTTGATTATGACCCATCAAAAGACAGTGGTTTACCAAGTAAAGGTTTAGAATTTCACTATGGAGATATTTTACATGTGACAAATGCCAGTGATGATGAATGGTGGCAGGCTAAACGAGTGATGCCTGATGGTGAGGAAGAAGGGATTGGTATTATTCCCAGTAAACGAAGGTAATGATTGAAGGTTAAAGGTGCATTTTCAAAAAAGAAATGAAAGGCGTATTTGTCCCTGTAAATTCACCAAAAATAAAACACTGTATGATACGATTACTAATTACCTTTCTTCACACCGGAAGAAAGGCTTTAAGAAAAGGTGAATGTTAGCTAAGAAAACATGAATTTTAGCTAAGCTTTGATGAAACAATTTGAGTGCCTCATCTTTTTATTAAAATGTTGAATATTCAAGATATTTCAGATTTTTAGCAAAAATAGGCTATACATGGCATTGTAAGAACATAAACATAGAGCACAAAATTAGTTGTTTATTGCTTTTTCAGTCCATGAATAAAAATTTACAGTAAACTTGCAGGTTTTAAAAGCAAAATCAATATATTTGTATTGGTATTGAGTAGATTTGGTAAAAACAATGTGAAATTTTGTATTACAGGGTAGACAGAAAAGAACGAGCTAGATTAAAAAATGTAAAATTTACTGGTAGAACAACTTCAAATGTAGATAAAGTAAGTATCAACTAACAAAAACAACAGTTATTTTAAGGAAGAAATACAAAAAACTAGTTACTGTAAGAGTAATGGAGAGTATGAATAAATGAGAGAAACAAAAATGATTTTAATAGCATCTTGAAAGAATTCATCATCTTGAATTTTTAACAAATAATCAGCTGGTGTCAGTATTTTTAATACCTTAATAATTGGTCAGTATACCCCATTCTAAAGGATGGGGGTATACTGATTTACATCTGTTCTGTGAAATCATATGTATGTACAGTGTATTATAAAATTTTCTTTACATTTTTCTTAGGTACTAAAAATTAGAGCTACCTGAAATTTGGTGTCCATTTTTCTTAGGTACTAAAAATTAGAGCTACCTGAAATTTGGTGTCAAGTTTCATTTGAGCATGATATACTATGATAAATTTTCAGATTCCTGTTAAGTGAATATTTATATATTCTTACACATTATCTCCATGTATGAAATTTAGTCGCATTTTTCTCATGATCTTTGTGGTATAAATACTGCAGCTTGATAGTAGAAAACTATTTTAATTCTGTTTATTGTCAGCCTGGTGAACTATATTATTACTTTTTTTTTGCAGCAACAGAATTTATCCGCTAATGATAAAAAGAAGAAGAATTTTTCCTTCTCCAAGCGGTTTCCATTCATGAAGAGCAAAGATCAGAGTGGTAGTGAAGACATAAGTGCTGATGAACGTAAGTTTACTAACAGTTTGACATGGAGCAAGAAGTACTTGGAATTTCAATATCAGGAACTTTTTTTACCATCCATGAAACTATGCTTGTATTGTCTGATCCAGATTCAGTTAGATAAAATACGATCTGATTAATTTTGTTTATCACTGTCGTTTTTTTTACTTTGATTTTTTTTTTCTATTTTATATTCTAATGGAGTTTGGATTATTTGCAAAAATCCTGATAGAGAAATTGCATTGGTCAAAATAAATCAGTCCACAGTTAAATACTGAACATTATTTTGTAAAACTTGGATAAAATACACATGAAATAAGATTTTAAAGTTATGTTCATTTTTGTCGAGCCTTCGACGTTTGTCGAAAAAGCGAGACATACCGATCCTACATTCCGTCGGCGTCCACAAATATTCACTCTGTGGTTAAAGTTTTTGAAATTTTAATAACTTTCTTAAACTATCCTGGATTTCTACCAAACTTAGACAGAAGCTTGTTTATGATCATAAGATAGTATCCAGAAGTAAATTTTGTAAAAAAAAAAATCCATTTTTTCCGTATTTTACTTATAAATGGACTTAGTTTTTCTGCCAGGAAACATTACATTCACTCTGTGGTTAAAGTTTTTGAAATTTTAATAACTTTCTTAAACTATCCTGGATTTCTACCAAACTTGGAAAGAACCTTGTTTATGATCATAAGATAGTATCCAGAAGTAAATTTTGTAAAAAAAAAAATTCCATTTTTTCCGTATTTTACTTATAAATGGACTTAGTTTTTCTGCCAGTTAACATTACATTCACTCTGTGGTTAAAGTTTTTAAAATTTTAACAACTTTCTTAAACTATCCTGGATTTGTACCAAACTTGGACAGAAGCTTGTTTATGATTAAAAACTAGTATCTAGAAGGAAATTTTGTTAAAATTTTGTTCCATTTTTTCCGCCTTTTACTTATAAATGGACTTAGTTTTTCTTCCAGTTAACATTACATACTGTCTGCAGTTTAAGTTTTTAAAACATTTATTAGATTCATAAACTATCCTGGATTTTTACCAAACTTGGACAGAAGCTACTTACAATCAAAAGATAGTATAGAGAGGAATATTTTTATTAATTTTTTTCCTCATTTTTGTTGAGCCTGTGATTAACAGCAAAAGTAGGCGAGACACTGGGTTCCGCGGAACCCTTACGAATTTTATTTGCATGGAATGATTTTGTAAAAAATATAGAAGGAATAAGGATGTATACAAATTATTCTTGTAGTAAAATATGCATTATTAAGATCTATTGATAGTTTGAATCGTGTAATAAAAATATATATTGTTAAGATGGATTGGTAGTTTGAATCTTACAAGTAAGCATGCAATTCATTTGTTTTACTATAGATTAATCCTAAAAATTACAAAAACCTACAATGATAACTCATAATTGACTGTTAAACAGAGTTTGCGACTTTATGCTGGAATCATTTACAAATGTTTAAAAAACCATTTTGTTTTAAGATGTTTTAAGATTTGTTTTGTTATTGGTATAAATAGAAAAAATGCAGAATATCCTCCTTTAATTTATCCACAATTATTTCTGTTGCACAATGTTATTAACTATAAATTTATAATGGTTAAAAATAATTCAAATAGTTCAACATTTCTACATTAATATTTATTTATATTTCACAATGGCAGTATCCTTGTATGAAATAATATTGTTCACCAACATTTTCTCATAGTATTTTTAAGACATGACGTCCATGTTTGATAAAACATCTTTAAGTTGTTTGGTTTTTTAACAGTTAATATAAGTGTTAAAGAGTGGAGTTTGTAGCATAGTACCAACTTAGAACCACATTGTATGAAATATTGATTGTTTACTCCAATTTAATTTGCTCGAATTTTGTTTTTATTCCTTTTAGCTGAAGGTAACAATAGTAAAAATCTGTAGATACTAATGTCATCATGCTTGTCTTTATAATATCTTGCTTTACTGTGTCTTTAGTAGAGAAAATAACTAATACACTTCTGCTTGTTTGTGTTGTATCTTGTGCAAGTATTTAGTAGTTTGTTGCTATTATTGGAAAATATGATAATTTAAAGTTAGACTTTGATATTATGCTGATTTACAAAAGATTTGATTTTTTTCATAACACATATGACTATAAATCTAGAAAAAAAAATTGTTTTGCCAAATAACAGATGATTTTCTTTGTTGACAAGGAATTCTATGATAAATAGTTATTAATTGTTAACCATTGTTTTGATGTTAGATATTTTATAACTTGTAGTGACACATACATGTACTATGCTTTATATTGTATGCCTTCTGTTGATAAAAGTAGCCTTTTTACACCAAATATGCATTTTGTGCGTATTATTTCTTTGCTTCAAATCTCAAAAATGAGAATAATGTATGTCTATCTAATTAGCTGTTACTAAGCACAATATACTTCCTTTAACACACAAAGATATCTTCATTTGCATTAAATTGATGGTTCATACACATACTAATTATAGATTATATTGTTTATCTGTTTTAGAAATAATGTTGACATTGCTTTAACTGATAGTGCTTAGTTTAGAAACTGATACATTTATTACTACAGTAAAAAAGATATGCATACAGTAGTCTGCACAAAACTTAAAATTTGGATTATTTTAATCAGCTCTCTTTAATTGTAAAGGTACAATAATAGTTCCATATTAGAAATTTACTTAATTTATTCAGATTTCTAGACAATTTTAAGTCAATTTGATAGAATCCGTTCAGCTAATTACTTGCCTTACTACTGTATAAAGATAATAAAATGAACAATAATGAAATAATATATTTTGCACACAGTATAATGAAATATAATTGAATCGTTTAACCTCAAATCATTCATTACATCATTAATACATTTATTTATAACCTTCTTGTGTTATCTATACTGCATATATGTTCTATTAAATCTTACCCCACCAGAAATGTTTGGCATATTTTATCAAAATATACCATTTAGAAAAAGAAATGAAAGTTTTAAAAAATTACTGCCTCTTAAGACAAAAAACAATAAAGGGAAACCTTATTTAAGTTACCAATTCACTTTTCACCATTGCCTATGCAGTGTAGAAAACACACCAACAAATAAACAGCTTTATGTCAATAATAATGCAAACTATATGTCTTATCATTTGGGACATGATTGAAAGATTGAAAAAAAACCAGTAGAATATCATCACACATTTATTAGATAATATGTTTGCATTTACTTAATAAATGAAGAATTGATTAGCTGTTTTGAAGTTGGAAAGAAGTTCCTTTTTAACATGATTCACTAACTCATAACATGATTTCCTTCATTTTTCTATTTTCTAATAGGAATGGGTGAAAATGAGACAAATGGGAGTAAGTAAAGCACCCTCTCTCTATCTCTCTATACAGCCATCATAATATTCAAGTCACATGATCATCAGCATGAACAAACTTCTATTATTGTATTGCATGAATGTTAGTCACCTTAAATTCCATCGAACAAATTGTTAGTTGCTGAGCTGTATGATTTGTTTCAACTTTCATATAATTTCTGTTTCAACTTGACAGATTCCATATTTTAATTGTAAAATTCTGTCAAATATGACAATAAAACAAGTTGACTTTTTTGTTAATTTTGTATAACTATTTACTAAGAATAGGGAATATTTTCAATCGAGGAAATGTTTTAATGTAATGTAAATGACTTGAAATCCTGCGACTCTTTTCACAAAAAATCTTAAGATAAAAATTGATCGTAAGTTATACTGAAATGTGTATGACTTACGAGTATTTTTACTCTTAAGTTTTTTTGTGAAAAGAGCCGCTGTTTGTCAATTTAAGTAAGTTTTCATTGCAGTTAACACTTATTTCATTTAATTTTACTATGGGGTTAATATGATTTTATAAATGTGGCTAAAACGGAAAACAGAAAATTCCTGTAAATATACATGAGGCATATGTTGAGTAAAAACAATGTATGGTTATGTTTAGTTATCTTGGCTGATGCAAATTAATTACCGGTACTTGGTATGATTTTGATCAGTCAAAGACAATGTTAAATGTATTGGGATAGATTCTGGTCTTCTGTGTTCAAGTCAGTTTAAAAGTTACATTCCAATGCATACAGATAATTGAAAATTAAAACAAGACAAACAGCAGAAAGCAACTTTAAGTTTTAGAAAAAAAAATCTCTACTATTTGAAGAGTTGCATGAGAGATGAGATAAAGTTTTTATACTTAGATTTTAGATTATAGTGTGCTTCTAACTTTGATCTATCAGTGAACACTTTAATTAGGGATGTTGCCTAGCAACTGCACATAACTTCTGGTGCCAAATGAAAATGAATTGATGTTGGTGATTGGTGGCTTGGTTTATGGGTGAATGGATTTGACTAGATGATAAATGTTATTAGCAGAACTAAATGTAATATTTTGAAATCTTCTGACCATTTCAGGCTTTGAAAAAATATTCCATGGCAAAAACCAACTGACCAGCTTTATAACACCACAAGCTTACTCAATTTGCATATTTTGTATAATGCAGAAAAAGAATGAAGAAAGGGATATTTAAGCCCTCCCCCTTTATGTATATTAATTACTGTATTACAGTTGAACTGTTAGTTGGTTCTTATAAAGGATGTTAATAAAAAAAAAATAGTTTGAATACTTTTATATTTAGTATGCACAGTCGTTTAGTTTGTTTGGTCTCTGGATATTATTGTCTTGTGTGGCTACACTGGGAATTGGACATTTTGAAATGGTGAAAATGCAATTTATAGAAAAAATTTGATGAGAAATCAGCTTTCAGCTGGTTAGTTTGATTGTAAAGAAAAGTACCTGTATAATATTACCAAAAGTTATCGTGTGATCTTTCCCAGTAATGCACTTGTGCAATATCACATGAAAATGGTGAAGGTAAAGGCAGTTTAATAAAGTGTCATTTTGAAGTTTTTCCCTTCAATGAAGGAGGTATTACACAAGTACATTGTATTGATTATTGAATTGACCACTTTAATTCACATTCATGAATTTCCTGTACATTTCCAATATCACACTGCTTATTTTATTACATCACAGTAAGAGGGGATTGTTCAATGACATCCTTTACACCCAAGGTCAATAGGTGTCACACATTCATAAAAAGTAACTGGAAATTGGTCTATACATTTCTTTGATATAGGTTGGTAAATCAATCCCATTTTGCTAGACATTAGGTTGGATAAGACAAGTGGGGTATAGGTATTAATGGGCATACTTTATGTAAAATATTATCATAGGGCACTGCATGTTTATGTCGTTTTAAATATGTTTATATATATATATATATACATGTATATGAAGAAATTTTTTTTCAAATCAGTTTTCAGAAATCCAAATTTGTGCATGTTATACGATCATAAGGTTTCAACAATTTTTTACACGGTACATAAAGTGAGGAAATTGCAGGATGCAATTTAAATATAAATTGCTTTATCTTATTGATCACTTTTTGTTGTGGGTGTTATGGTTCCTTTAAGTACAAAATTATATCTGCAATTAAATTCAAAATTTGTTAAGTTTTACTCTCTAAGTTTTTTTAATTTTTTAAACTATTCAAACAGGGAATTTTCAGAAATTAAGAAAGGTGTACATCATTATGTCATGGTGAGAAGTAAGGAACATTATTCACTACTGCTTATGTTAAACTGCTTTCAGAATTAGTTTGCTAGTGATTACAAAGTCGTAGAATAATAATAATAATTTCTCAAGAAGCAAAGCAAAATAATTTCAACTTGAATGGTTTTTTTTTCAAGTTCATAACATAAACATTATAAGTATTGCGTTTCCTGATGCATATTTCAACTTTTTTCATTCAGACTTTCTGAACATTGAAATTTAGATAAAGATATGACTATGGTGATATTAGATTAATGACAATGATAACAGATATAGATTCCACATTTGTGCTTTATGCTTACAATACTTTGCTCTATGTTTTATCTTTCCTGTAGACCTAGTAACATATTTGTGAAGCATTAGATGATTGGTTTTGTTTTTTTAAGTATGAAATATTTAAAGGAAATAAGCTTCATCATAAGATGTGGATAATTATTTTAAAGTAATTTTTTTATGTTCATTGTTTACCACATATTTAGCAGAATAAGTGTATGACACAATATCGTCTGGTTTGTGATGGGTGCTTTACTTACACATATTTTATAAATCAGAAAGTGGTCAAGTGTTACTGAATAAAAAAGTATTTAAGGATAGCTGTACTAATTTAAATTATGGAAATGGTTTTCTACATTTTTAATCATTTTTTGTAACTTATTTACCCAGCATCACATCATATGTATTTTTAATAGTCACTTTAGCTATATAACAGTAGCATTTTCCACAATTCATCACTTTCAGAATGATGGATTGTAATATAAGTTTTGTACACAAACAATTGAACCAAGAAAAGCTAAATTAATGTTCATTTTCATGTTATAATCATGTAGAAATAGATGTCGTGATAAAAAAGCATTATATTATTCGATAAGATAATTACATTCATACTGGTCATAAAGATAAAATTTCAGTCTTTTGACCTGTCTCATGCGAGGGAGGTCAAAATCTCTCACTTGGACAAAAAAATCACCCAATTTTCACTATTTCAAAAGCAATGCTTGTTTGCATAGTTAAAAGACATCCCAGGTTGTCAGATATATTGTTTTAACTTATTAAATCTATGTATAGATATTGAGTTTTAAATTCCTTGAATCTTAATAGAGAAGGGTATGAAAAGGAGTAGGTTTGATAAGGCCCTAAAATGGCCCCTTTTTTTAGCTTAAATTTTAAATTAGGATTTATTGACCAATATCACAATGAATCATAGCTAATACAGTGACTAGATAGGAAATAAGCCTTTTGTTGAAAATTTACGTACCTGCGTTTTATACATGACGTTACAAATAGTACTCATTTAGATTTTCCATGAAAAAATCAATGAAAATTGGTAAATTGCCATTGACTTTTGGACAGGAAAAATAGAGCACATACGTCGACAAGTAAGATCTTTTAAAATAATGTTTGTAAAGACATTTTACATGTCTAACTTGAATATTTAGTTTGTCGACGATTGCGCTCTATGTTTCCTGGTCCTAAATTTGGTTGAAATCCGGCCGATTTTGTCAAATTTCGCCAAAAATCTCTTATCTAGACCTATTGGGATGTAACAATCAACGCTTTAGAATAAAACTTTGACACAAATAGTTCTATTTAACTTTCTCACATGTCTTTAAGTCCACTTAAAACATTTGTTATCTTGTAACATTGAACTTTATAATCGGGGCCGAATATGGCCCATACCGAACTTACTCCTTTATAACAGTATTGGAATTGGACAAATATTGGATTGTTTTTTTCAGGGAAGTGAATGGACAATGCTGATTTATTATGATTTATATCTAACTGAAAACCATTAAATCAAACAAAATTATATACTATATGTCAAAATCTCATGGGACGTTAAGCAGCCAACAATCAATCAATCAATCAAAAAATTCTATGTTATTTCTGCACAATTCTCACATGAAATTCTCACATAAAGTCTGACACTTATGCATTGACCATTGGTCTGTGTACTTTTAGTTATGAATTTAATATTAACTCTGTGATTTTTGTTTCAGGAGGAGAGGAACCAATATTATCATATGAAGCTGTTGTCCAACAGGAATGTAAGTATTTTTAAGTTGCAGGTTATTGATATAACTCCGCTTTAGTTTATTTAAGTTGTATCTATCATTTTTAAACCTGTCACTAATCATTACTGCTCAGCATCATTTTCTATAAGGTGTATCCTGTAATGCATAATCAACTTCCTGTTTGTTGAATATCTAAACTTCCTCAGTAGGTAATGTGTATATACATGTTAATGTATATGCAAACTATCTAAGATGTCCCAAGGTAGCATTCTTGTGTTAAAGTGCTGTAGGTAATAATGTTAATCCTTAGCTGGGTCAAACCAACCACTTTCTCAATTGGTATTTGGTGTTGCTCTATACCAAACACATGGCTTGGGAGTACTAGCAAAGACTGGACTGTTATCTTGTGAGTTAGCACATTTAAAATCTATCTCAGCCAGCCAGTCTGTCTGTCTAGTACAAAGTGGTATAGTCATAATATATCCTTGATATTTGCTGCTTGACGTAAAGCATCCATCCATCAGTCAATATTAATATTTATAATTTTATCCCATCTTAGTATTGAATGAATTATATGCATCAAATTTGGAGATCCTAGATTCATGTGTTTCTTTTCTTGTGATGTCAAAACCTTAATTTTTCTTAAAGAATGCCATTTGCTAACAATTTTTGCCAAAATGATATATTTATCTCAATAACCATTATCCACAGCCCCAAAATATTAAGAACACTGTTGCATTGGTCTCTATGCATATCATTCTCAATCTGAATATGAGGCACTGCCCTCAGTCATGTTAAGAAATTACTTCAAAAGATAACTTGGTAATTAGGGCCCCGCATGGCAGGTTGCCCTAAAGTGATCAGTCTGTCCGTCCGTCCGTCCGTCCGTAACAAATTGTGTCCGCTCCATATCTAGAGAACCGTTATGATTTCAAAGTTTATACTTGACATGTTTATTAACCAACACCAGAGGGTGTGTCAAAATGTATGTACAATTTCGTAGGTCAAAGGTCAAGGTCAAAAACTTTGGTTTGAGTTGACCATCCCATGTCCTATGGTAAAGACCATGTCCGCTCTATATCTTGAGAACCGTTATGATTTCAAAGTTTATACTTGACATGTATATTAACTAACACCAGAGGGTTTCCTAGGTCAAAGGTCAAGGTCAAAAACTTTGGTTTCAGTTGACCATCCCATGTCCTATGGTAAAGATCGTGTCTGCTCTATATCTTGAGAACTGTTATGATTTCAAAGTTTATACTTGACATGTATATTAACCAACACCAGAGGGTGTGTCATAATGTATGTACAACTTCCTAGGTCATAGGTCAAGGTCAAAAACTTTGGTTTCAGTTGACGACCCCATGTCCTATGGTAAAGATCGTGTCTGCTCTATATCTTGAGAACCGTTATGATTTCAAAGTTTATACTTGACATGTATATTAACCACCACTAGAGGGTGTGTCGTAATGTATGTACAACTTCCTAGGTCAAAGGTCAAGGTCAAAAACTTTGGTTTCAGTTGACAACCCCATGTCCTATGGTAAAGATACAAATTTTTTACCACACGTTATTCACAGCAGGGCCCACAGAGATGGCTCCCATCTCAATGATATCTAGTTTTGTATGAAGTGGCATGAGAATCAGTTTCAAGCAGACTTGTGCAATTTTAAGTTTTTTATTACTTTTAAATATTTGATTTCTTAAATAAGTGTTTGTAAAAAAAAAAATTATCACCTACAGTGGTTGTGATATAATATTTTGCTGTTAAGTATCTCTATTTCAAAGAAGATAACTCCTAATTCATGCTATGTTTACTTTTAAGATATTTTGATGTTAAGTTTTTAGTTCACCTGGCCAAAAGGGACAGTGTGAGTTTTTACTATCACTTGGATCCATTATTACTCATTCTCAAGTTATAATGACAGGCAGCTATTTTATTTACTTCTGAAAATTGACGGCTTAATAAAACCTATTAAAAAAGTAAGCAATAAAATTATTTAATAAACACTAGTAAGCTATGTGGACTGACTGGAAAGAGAACTAATATCTAACTATCCTATTTTACAGTAAAATACACACGACCTGTGATTATACTTGGTCCATTGAAAGACAGAATAAATGATGATTTGATATCAGAATTCCCTGATAAATTTGGCAGCTGTGTTCCACGTAAGTATTATAGACATAAGTTATGAAATTCTGATGCATGCAAGAAGAATCAGTTTCATTACTTTTTATAAACATGTAATAACAATTTAAAATAAAAGACAGTTGTTTATTAGACCTAAGTAAAGTATGAAATATAAAGTTGATATTGTACATTTAAAAGTGTCAAGAATGGTATCTGTACAACTACAAAAAGGTATGTAGAGACGTCTGTCCATTAGTCCATCTGTATTGTTCCAGGAAAGACCTGTTCACAGCCAATTTACATTACATGAATTTCTCGTTGAAATATTTGAAATCAGTTTTTTAAGTTTTCATTGCTTGATCTGTCAAAAACACACAATAAAAAGTTTATCAACTTAAACTCATTGTTATTGAAAATGAAAAATGAATTTCCTGTAAAAGCACTCTCACATGAAATATCAAACTTCCATATGTACTATCTTTTTAGATACGACACGATCAAGGCGTGATTATGAGGAAGATAGTCGCGATTATCATTTTGTAGAATCCAGAGAACAAATGGAAAGGGATATTCAGAATCATTTATTTATAGAAGCTGGCCAATACAATGATAATTTGTATGGTACAAGTGTAGCATCAGTTAAAGAAGTAGCTGAAAAGGTTGGTTTTCATTTTAAAGTATAAATAATATGACATTGAATATCATGTCTGCTTGAAAATTAAGTTTAAAGTTTAAAGTTTAACCATGGAGAAGCAGCAAATGTTTGACAATAGTTTGAAATTTTACAACTCATTGTACAAGGAAAACTTTTCTTCAAAGTTTTTTCTCGGCTCCTTTGAAGCGATTAATTTATTATTTGGTCTGCAGCTTCAAAATGTTGAGTTGTAGTGAGTAAGCAATATTTACATCTGCCGTGTAGCCACTTACTGTTTACCAGTAGTATGACATTTTACAACACTATTTGTACAAGGAAAATTTCCGTCAAAGTTTTCTTGGCATCAGTAAAAGGGAATGATAAGTTATGCTCCAGTATACATATTACCTCAGTCAATTGGATGCAGCAACGCAGGTCCAGACCAGGTATTGGTCTTTACACTTGCTTGTGTTTACTTTTTTTGTGGTTTTTTTTTCAGGGAAAACATTGTATATTAGATGTGAGTGGCAACGCAATCAAGAGATTACAAGTTGCTGGACTATACCCAGTAGCAATCCTTATCAAACCAAAGTCTGTAGACTCAATAATGTAAGTCAGGTTATCACATGTGATTAAAAATGAACTATACCTTATTAACAGATATTTAGAATTGATGAATGTTAAACATTCTCAGATGAACAAATGCTGTAGAAAATAAATATATGAGAGAAAAACTGAAAAATGAACTACTGGAAACCATACAACTAAATAATGAAATTTGCTTGCATCAACTAATGTTTATGCCCCTGTCACTGATATTCCATCCTTCAGTCATTCTGTCATTCTGTGATTATACTGTTGTCTAGAATTTTTATACGCCTGCAAAATTTTTTGCGGTCGTATATTGGTATGACGTTGGCGTCGTCGTCGTCGTCCGAAGACACATTGGTTTTCGCACTCTAACTTTAGTTTAAGTGAATGGATCTCTATGAAATTTTACCATAAGATTCAATACCACAAAAGGAAGGTTGGGATTGATTTTGGGGTTTATGGTACCAACAGTTAAGGAATTAGGGGCCAAAAATAAGCATTTTGTAACTTCCAGACATAACTTGTGTGTTAGTGTATGGATCTCTCTGACATTGTACCACAAGGTTCCATATCACAAAGGGAATGCTGGGATTGATATTGGGGCTAATTGTCTCAAAATTTTTGGAATTAGGGGCCAAAAAGGGGCAAAAAACAAGCATTTTTCTAGTTTCATGACAATAACTTGTAAGTGTATGGATCTTTCTGAACTTGTACTACAAGGTTCCATTTCACAAAGGGAAAGCTGGAATTGAGTTTGGGGGTCATTGCCCAAAAAGTTTAGGAATAAGGGGCCAAAAATAAGCATTTTTCTAGTTTCGAGACAATAACTTGTGTTCAAGTGTATGGATCTCTCTGAAATTGTACTGCAAGGTACCATACCACAATAGGAAGGCTGGGATTGATTTTGGGGGTAATTGACTCAAAAATGTTAGGAATTAGGGGCCAAAAAGGGGCAAAAAACAAGCATTTTTCTAGTTTCAGGACAATAACTTGTGTGTAAGTGTATGGATCTTTATGAAATTGGTCTACAAGGTTCCATATTACAAAGGGAAAGCTGGGTTTGAGTTTGGGGGTAATTGCCCTAAATGTTTAGGAATTTGGGGCCAAAAAGGGGCATAAAAACAAGCATTTTTTCTAGTTTCCAGACAATAACTTGTGTTCAAGTGTATGGATCTCTCTGAAATTGTACTGTAAGGTACCATACCACAAAGGGAAGGCTGGGATTGAGTTTGGGGGTGATGAATCATAAGGGGGTTCAAAAAATTTGGGGTAAGGATTTTTTTTTTTCTTTAAAACTTTCCATTTTAAATTGGTTATTTCTGATTTAAATATGTAAAAGCAAATAATAATGATATGGTTTGAATAGGTAAATTAAAAATTTTTAAGTTCTTAGACCACATTCATTCTGTGTCAGAAACCTATACTGTGTCAAATATTTAATTTATTTAATTGCGCCCAGCGGAGCATTTTATTTCAATATGCTAAGAGATAACGTTATATACATGTATATTAATGACTGACAGATCCTGTTTACATTTTGTGTCAGGTTACCAGTTTACAAAACATATATGCAAATTGTTTCAGGGTTTTCTTTTCATTCTCATCATATATAGTATCCATCTTCTGTTGTCAAAGTACATGGACTATATCTGTCTTGGAAGGGATACACATTAGTAGAATCTTTTGGCTAGCAAAGGTGGAATTATCAGACATGAGACATAATGAAAATAACTTACTAAGTATGCCTGCAATTTATGATTGCAACATAAATGTAAAATCTTGCAAAAAGTGCATTACAGTGACATCTTACCATTAATTTACCACAGTAACCATAGTCTTTTTATGCTAAATTTTAAAGTTTTTGTCAAAGATGTTAGAGTTTCAGCATGTAAAAAATTTTAAAGTTCAGATACTAAAAGAAGGTAGTGTGATACAGGCAATCAAAAGTTCAAAAGAGTTTTATGAAACATCATATGTGATTTTTATTTTATTTCAGGGATATGAATAAGAGGATTACAGAGGACCAAGCTAAAATGACTTTTGAGAGAACAATGAAATTAGAACATGAATTTGGGGAGTATTTTACTGGTATGTAGCCATTGGATATTCCAGATTCATATCTGAATTGTTCATTAAAGAAAAACACACACTCCAAATAAAAAAAATTAAAAATTAAAAGCGTCTATTCCAAAACGATTTTCCTGTGTAGTTTGCCTGGATGGTGGCTGTAAGAAATTGTGCTTTTAAAATTCAACTTTTTTTCAAAATTATTAAGGTTTTACATAGCAAAACATTAACTTAACCATAGCTTGAAAAGAATCTAATAATGTTTCTGTAACTTGTGTTAAAACAGCAGGTTGATGTTAATGAATCTTTCACAGAATCTTTCTTCCACTATGTCAATATGCACCCCCTATTTAAGTTTTTGATACTTATGGTTTTCTGTATTTCCTGTAGCAAAAACAGACTTAAGTAAGCATCTTGAAGCCACAACCCCTCCAATGCTACCAACTTCATCAATGACAATCTACATTAAGTTTTACCCTTGTTCGTCAGTACGTCCCAAAATTGGTTTCCGTTCTCTAACTTTAGTTTGCCTCAATCAAATGTAATGAAACTTATACACAATGCTTATTACCACAAAACACAGATGAAGTTTGAATTTTGGTGGCGTCACTTTTACCGTTGTAGAGTTATGCCCCTTTACAAATGGAAAAATTGTTGGATTTTTCGTTTCCGTTCTCTAACGAGTTTGCCTCAACCAAATGTTATGAAATGTATACACAATGCTTATTACCACAAAACTCAGATCAAGTAAAAATTTGGGTAGTGTCACTTTTACAGTTCTTGATTTATGTCCCTTTATAACATTATATGCAAGCGGGGACATCATCTGTGTCCCATGGACACATTCCCCATTTTTATTTTTTAAATACATTGCCATTGTTTTCTCTTATTTTTTGTCTGAATAAGTTTTGATGTTTACCAAAGCAAAACATGAATTTTGTCATTTTAGCTCACTATATTTTTTCGAATTACCTTGGTATACTTGTTTTTATTATTGATTGATTGATAAGTGTTTAATGCCACTTTGAACACTTTTGTGCTATTTCGTGGCAGTCAGTTTTTCTTGGTGGAGGAAGTCGAAGTGCCCGGAGAGAACCACGAACCTTCGGTAGGAAATCTGACAATCCTAGTCAATAAAGATTGGAGTTGAGTGCACCTGCCCCGTGCGGGATACAAACTCACAACCTCAGTGTTTGTTTTTATTAAAAGTGAAGGTTATATTCACAGTTTATTTCTTGTTTGTTTTAGCTGTTGTACAGGGAGATACAGCTGTTGAAATCTACACAAAGGTCAAGGAAGTCATACGAGACCAGTCAGGGCCAACAATTTGGGTTCCAGCTAAGGACAAGTTATGAAACTAAATAAGACCTACATTGGCTTATTATTACTAAAGACCCAAGGATTGTTGTATGAATGGTTGTAAACTGATTGACACAAACTGCCACATAGTTTGTAGTTGGAAAATTGTGATAAATTTTAGTTTTTACAATTGACCAATCAGTAGTTTTCTTATTTCCTGATTGTTCCAAGAACAATTAAAGACATTTTTGATTGGTTTTAAGCAAATGACTGGAATAAAATGATTGGTGTTAAACATCATGTAGTTCCTCTAAGGTTCTTACTATTTGGGGAAATGCCTGAACTCTCTAAGCTTTTAGCATCTTTTTGACTCATTTAGAATTCAGCTCATGAATTCAAATCTTTAAGATGTTGAAACTAACATTCTTGCAAGAAAAATGACATCTTACTTGGAAATTATTAGAAATAGATTTATTGACTAACATTTTTTGTGGCATTAAAGTATATAACTTAGGGTATGCATGATATTTGCAGAAGACATCTGTTCAATGCTCTTACTTCACACTTTAGAGCTATCCTTTCATTGATATTATCAATAAAACCATGAAAAATCCTTAATTTGAATTGATCCAATTGAATGACATAGAATGAGACTCAGTAATGAATTGATTTTTTATATAAAGTATTGACAAACTTATAATTTTATGCTAGATTTAAAAATTTTGAAACTCAATTCTGATTGAAAAGGGATGAGTTTAAGTTCTTACATTTGAGCCTTTTTTACTTGTGTAAAAACTATGTGAGAAAAGTAATTTTTTGCTTCATGTTCTTGGCAGCTTTTTTGTCGACAATCACATGAAATGTCCCAAAAGATGCATATAAACAAGATGTTTTGTCCGTCCAAACCTTCTTACATTTAAGAATCTCTAAAAGTTTGTTGTTCCTATCTGTCACATCAATCGTAGACCATTAAATTGTTCATTATTTTAGTAACAAAGTTAACCAAAAAGCTAATGGTTAATCTACAAAAGAAAGTAATAAAGTTCTATGATAAATGTATCAAAATAACTTAATTTGTCTCTTTTCGTGGAGAGGGGATTATGCAAAGGAAGATAACATAAGTAAATAGCACTTAATTTCTCATTGAAATCAAAATGATCTTTATCTTGCACTATGACATGTAAAGAAGAATTATTTTGGTGGCACCCCTTCCTCTAATTAAAAATTTCAATTATCTATCCATACTTAAATACTTGAATGGAATTGTTCCAGCAATATCATGTGTACCCTTATTAATTGTCAGTTGTAGATTTTCTGGAAAACTATTCCATAAATTATTTGTAGTTTTTAGCATGTAAAATGACACAATTTGGGGAATTTTAAATTGTGATTTTTTTGTACAAATGTATAATATTTTGTTTCAATAGTTATTTTAGCTGTAAATTTTATCTTTTTATTGATTTTAAGGTGTAATTTTACATTATAATGAAATAATTTACCTCCAAATTGCCATTTATACAAGTAAAGAGAAGGTTCTATTTACATGTTTATCATGATAATCCTTAGTGTTGGGAAATATCTAAAACATTATTATGCTACAGGTATTACTTAAGAAACTAAGAAGACTGAAATTGTATTAAAAAAACACATAATTAACTTCAAGAATTACTTCCTAAAGTAATGAAGCAAAACATATCTTTATAAGGCTTTAACTAGCATAAATTTCTTTGCTTTTTACTGGATGGCTTTCAATATTTTTGTTAGAAAAAGGTAATCTTTTCAGCAGCTTGTTATTTATACCAAATACTTGGGAAATCATGATATTTTATATGTATTTTAAGGTTTAATTCCATTTGTATTATATTACAAATTCTATTTATAGTTCCATTCTGTTTCTGTATCTTGTTCACACATTTTCTTTTCTTCTCACCTGGTTCTCTCTTTTACCTATATTTTTAATCCTCAGGTACACTCAAGTTTGTTAAACATTTTTTAAAATGAACTTCCATCTTCTGTGTACATTAGTGTGCATACATTAGAATGTTCATGTCTTGTGTGCATATAGTGATTTTCTATCATGTTTAGTGTGCATGAATTGAATTTTTAAAGAATATGTAGAATTTTGTATGTTGATATTCATTGCTTTTTTTTCATATATTTATGTGACTTTTACACCATATTTTAACACCTTATAAAGAACTTATGATTTATCAAACTTTTCACCATAAATTTGGAATGTCAATATTTTATAATCTAGTGTGTAAAAATTTATAATTGGTATTTGAGTACATCATATCATGAATACTCAGATATATAAGAATGCATAATGTTTATATAAAGTAGTCAAGAAACAATATAGCACCTGGCAAATGGAATAAAATAGTTCAGAAATTTAAACTAGAATATATTATATTCTTTATTGACAAGAACTCTAATAATTTAAAAAAGATATTTGCTGATTATTACTTGAAAAACAAAAAACATTGAAAGAATTTTTTCAATAGTATTAACATTGTATATCGATTTACCAGTACTAGAAAGTTTCTCACTGTAAAAAAAAAAACAGAAAAATTTCATGACGATCAAAATAAATATTTATCTCAGCTATTTAATATGCTTTTCATTAATAAGATGATTTCTTTTGATTTGAAGAAGGCTTCTAGTTGCTGTGTAGTGTGTTATATGCAACAATTTATATTTCTAGCTTTTCATTTGTATCACCATGTGAGTCTTCCTTCTTCACCAACACATTATAGAGAAAGATTTCAGAAAATTCCCATGTGTGTGTTAGTTTTAAAGAGATACGTCTAGTTTGGAAATATATTAGAGCTATAATACTTTAAACAACTTTTATTGCAGTATTTTCACAAAAATATGTTTAGTTTAAATGAATTTGTTAGATTACTCCATCATGTGATATCAAATGTAAATTCACTACGATTCTCCATGTTAAATTAACATGCACACTCGCCCATAGTTGTAAATTCATAGACTGAACCTAGTCCATATCATATTTCACTGTTCATAATTTATATCATAAGTCATTTATCAAATTTTAGAGGAAGCAAATGTTTGGTAGGAATGTAATGTGTGATTAAGAATAAGTATGGTTAATGGATAGGTAGACATTTTTTATCTAACCAGTCATTAAAAGTTAACTTAAATCTATAAAAGCTTTAAATTCAATACTCAGATACATGTTTTTGTCTCCTTCTGATTTTTTTCTTTTGCAAAGGAAATGGAGTAATATGATTAAGTTGACATGATATTTCTCAATATTCTTTCTCTCTCACCTTTAAACTTAACAAAAACAATGTATTAGTAGTATTGAAGATCTGAATTGCTTGCAGTATTATATGGACATGTTCTTTTGTGCTTTAGTACAGTTACTTTATCTTGTTTTAATGCCACCTATTATACAACCATTGACAGTCAATAAAATAAAGTGCAATACATAACAGCAATGAAGCTTGCATCCACTATAAAAGTTAATAATTTTAAAAGTATACAGGAATTGGAAATTTAACCCAGTGAATATTTAAAAAAAAAAATTATTTATTTAATTGGTGACAATATAAATTAAGAATATTACTTGTAATTAAATTGATTTTGTATGTAATTGGCATTGTGAGACTTTATAGATTTTTCCTGTTACAGAAATGTTTCTGTAGTATGGAAGTATGGTGATAGCAAAGATAATATATAAACATTATATCACACTAATCATTCTTTCTTAAGAACAGTATAAAAAATTATCAAACAATCCTGTTTTGTTTTTATACCTGCCTTTAGAAATTCTGTTGAAGTATAGTCATGAAAAAACATTTTTTACTGGGGTTTCCAAAAGAAAAATCTCTTTATTAAAATGGTGAAGTACAGCGGGCAGGCTGGTGGCTACCAACAATTCCCTACAAAAACTTATGGACAGTTCTACCAATGCTTTATAAGTTTGATATTGGAGATTTTCACTTTTACCAGTTCTTGGTGGATTGGAAAATGGCACTTTATTAGCTCACCTGGCCTAAACTTGACGTCTATTTTGTCATCAGTAACAATATATTAAAATTTGAAAAGCATTTTCTGAACAGTTCATAAGTTAATGCACAAAAATGACACAAAGTACCATTTTCAAATCTGTCAAGGACTATTACTCCTGAACAGCAAAAGTGAAATTCAGCAATATCAAACTTGACCTCCAATTTATAAACAACATATTATGATTTGAAAAGCATGGTTGAATGGGTCAAATTTTATAGTACTGAAAAGAAACTAGAGGCTCTTTAGAGCCTGAGTCCCTCACCTTGGTCTATGTGCATATTCAACAAAAGGACACTCTCCAACATTGTAGACGAGAACAGAATTCATGACAAAAATCTCTGTTTTGTTGATCTCGTATTGCTGATCATTTAGTCTGTAGTCTGTTAGTTTCTCTCTATCTTCTTTAGTTTTTTTACTCAAAACACAAAAGAGGGTAAAAAAAATCCTCATTTAAGGGCAATCCCTCCTATAAAGAGTGACAGTCTACTAACTATATCGGCAACATTTGACTTGTTAGTAGATCTTGACTTGTTGATCATTTTTGTGAGTTAAAGTGTCTATTTATCAATTATAATTTCTGTCATATAAGGCAAAACGCAAAAAAATGGTGAAAATCGTCAGTAAAGGGCAATAATTCCAATAAGGAGTAGTGGGACGATTTCCTCCATATTGTCTTAATTGTAGATCTTGTCTTGCTGATTATTTTTGCTTATTTAAGTTTCTATCTATCTATTGTAATTTTTATACGTCCGTTTACGGGACGTATTTTGGTATACCGTTGTCTGTCCGTCCATCCGTCTGTCCGTCCGTCGTCAACATGTTGAACATTAACTCAAAAACACTTCAACCAATTTGCATAAAACTATGGTGAATTGTTCATATCTTTTGATGTGAGCTCCCTTTGGTCTTTAAAATATTTAGATTTTACGTTTCTGAGTTATGGGGGTTTTATTCATTAAAAAACGGGGGATTTTCCAGTTTTCGGACAATAACTCAAAAATGCTTTCACCAATTTGCAAGAAACTTTGGTCAATTGTTTATATGTATTGACATGAGCTCCCTTTTGATTTTTATAAATTTTAGATATTATGTGACCGAGTTATGGAGTTTTTTTTATTCATTAAAAAAAAAGGTGGATTTTCCAATTTTCGGACAATAACTCAAAATGCTTTCAGCAGTTCTCATGAAACTTTGGAGAATTGTTTTATATCTATTGATGTAAGCTCCCTTTCAATTTTTATAAATTTTAGATTTTACACTTCCAAGTTATGGGATTTTATTCATAAAAAAAGGGTGATTTTCTAGTTTTCGGACAATACCTTTAAAGTGCTTTGAGCAGTTTTCATTAAACTTTGGTGACTGGTTTATATCAATTAAGATAACCTCCCTTTAGTTTTTCACAAATTTCTGATATGACATTGAGAAGTTATTGAACTTTATTTGTAAAAAAAGCAAGGGGCATATCATGCGCTCATGGCACAGCTGTTTATTAAGATATAAGGGAAAAACGCGAAAAATAGGTAAAAACTTGTCATCAAAGGGCAATAACTCTAATAAGGAGTCAACTGACAATTTCGACTTTGTAGTCTTATTTGTAGATCTCGTCTTGTTGATCATTTTTGCAATTTTAAGTTTCTCTTTATCTATTATAGTTTTCAAGATGGAAGTATTTTTTGAAAATACAGTATTAATGTAGATACATGTATTGTAGAAGCATTTGTACATTCTTTAGTTTCGTATTATTTGATTGCTATTTTTTATAAAACCCTGCACCTCCTTTTCACGTTTGTTTTCACAGATGACATTTATATATTATTTCACCATTACTTTATGTTCTGCTTGGCCACTGTATCCATGCCGGTTACCCGTGTGGTGTATCCAACCTTGATGTATAAGTTTAAGATAAATCAAGTGTTGGCAGGGAGGCAAAGAAGAAGTAATGCTGTGTCCTGGCATTGATATATGCTCCTTTACATTGCATCTTATGATATCTACATATGTCATCGGGTGCTGCGTGGTCTAGGGTGGATGCCTGTATAAGGGAGGTCTCTTAATGTATCCTAAGATTAATAGTAAGCAAAAATGAAAAAAAATGGTAAAATTTGTCATTTAAGGGCAATAATTCCTATTAGAAGTCGTCTGACAGTTTTGACGTATATGGACAATTGGTACAACTCAACATTCTGAACATTTTTGGCTCAGTTAGATTTTCTCTATTTATAATGGTTTTCAAAATAATAGACAAAATTTGCATTTTACCCCTATGTTCTGTATTTTGCCATGTCGGCCATCTTGTTGACAGGCTGGGTCATCGGACACATTTTTATACGACCGCAAAAAAAATTTGCGGTCGTATATTGGTATGATGTTGGCGTCATCATTGTTGTCGTCATGGTTGTCCGGCATCGTCGTCGTCCGAAGACACATTGGTTTTCGCACAATAACTTTACTTTAAGTGAATGAATCTCTATGAAATTTTACCATAAGGTTCAAAACCACAAAAGGAAGGTTGGGATTGATTTTGGGGGTTATGGTACCAACAATTAAAGAATTGGGGGCCAAAAATAAGCATTTTTGTAACTTCCAGACAATAACTTGTTTGTTAGTGTATGGATCTCTCTGACATTGTACCACAAGGTTCCATATCCCAAAGGGAATGCTGGAATTGATTTTGGGGGTAATTGCTTCAAAATTTTAGGAATAAGGGGCAAAAAACAAGCATTTTTCTAGTTTCATGACAATAACTTGTGTGTAAGTGTATGGATCTTTCTGAAATTGTACTACAAGGTTCCATATCACAAAGGGAAAGCTGGAATTGAGTTTAGGGGTAATTGCCCAAAACGTTTAGAAATAAGGGGCCAAAAATAAGCATTTTTCTAGTTTCCAGACAATAACTTGTGTTCAAGTCTATGGATCTCTCTGAAATTGTATTGCAAGGTACCATACCACAAAGGAAGGCTGGGATTGATTTTGGGGATAATTGCCTCAAAATTTTAGGAATTAAGGGCCAAAAAGGGGCTAAAAACAAGCATTTTTCTAGTTTCATGACAATAACTTGTGTGTAAGTGTATGGATCTTTCTGAAATTGTACTACAAGGTTCCATATCACAAAGGGAAAGCTGGAATTGAGTTTAGGGGTAATTGCCCAAAACGTTTAGAAATAAGGGGCCAAAAATAAGCATTTTTCTAGTTTCCAGACAATAACTTGTGTTCAAGTCTATGGATCTCTCTGAAATTGTATTGCAAGGTACCATACCACAAAGGAAGGCTGGGAATGATTTTGGGGATAATTGCCTCAAAATTTTAGGAATTAAGGGCCAAAAAGGGGCTAAAAACAAGCATTTTTACATTTTCCAGACAATAACTTGTGTTCAAGTGTATGGATCTCTCTGAAATTGTACTGCAAGGTACCATACCACAAAGGGAAGGCTTGGATTGAGTTTGGGGGTGATGAATCATAAGGGGGTTTGAAAAAATTGTGGGGGGGGTTTTCCTTTTTTTTTTCCATTTTAAGTTGGTTATTTTTGATATATATATATAAAAGCAAATAATAATGATATGGTTTGATTTTAACAAAAATTGAATTCTTGGGGGTTCTTTGATATGCTGAATCTAACCATTTATGTATTTAGATTTTGGATATTTGACCATAATAGGTAAATTAAAAAAATTTAAGTTCTTAGACCACATTCATTCTGTGTCAGAAACCTATGCTGTGTCAAATATTTAATCACAATCCAAATTCAGAGCTGTATCAAGCTTGAATGTTGTGTCCATACTTGCCACATTTCAGGATTCGACCTCTGCGCCCAGCGGAACATTTTATGTAAACTAGATACCCCAATGGTGAAGTTGGCTAATTTTGGTTTTTGGGCCAGGTTTGCAAAAAAGAACCGAGGGATTAAATTCCAAGTTTTGCCTATTTTGAAAACACCTATAAATAAAGAAAGTCTGACAGGAGCAGAAAGTTCAGAATGTTCAAATCTACCTACTGTCCATATATGCAAAACTGTTAGAGGACTGTCATTGAAGTTATTGGTCTAAAATGATGCATTTTACCATTTTTTTTTCATTTTTATACGACTGCAAAAAATTTTTGCAGTTGTATATTGGTATGACGTTGGCGTCATCGTTGTTGTCGTCGTCCAAAGACACATTGGTTTTTGCACAATAACTTTAGTTTAAGTGAATGGATCTCTATGAAATTTTACCATAAGGTTCAATACCACAAAAGGAAGGTTGGGATTGATTTTGGGGGTTATGGTACCAACAGTTAAGGAATTAGGGGCCAAAAAGGGTTCAAATTTAAGCATTTATCTAGTTTCCAGACAATAACTTGTGGAACTGTGCATGGATCTCTCTGAAATTATACCACAAGTTTCCATACCACAAAGGGATGGTTAGGATTTGCTTTGGGGGTTATGGCTCAAACCATTTAGGAATTAGGGGCAAAAAAGGGGGAAAAACAAGGATGTCCTGGTTAATGGACAAATACTTTAGTACAAAACATAATTTAAAGCAGTGTAAGGGAGGTAAATCAAATACATCATTTGAATTACCTCCCTTACACTGCTTTTAAATTATGTATAAAGTAATGGTTTATGAACAATTAAGACAATTTAAAAGCAGTGTAAGGGAGGTAATCCAAATACAACATGACATTTGCATATTTGAAATGCATATTTATAAAGGAAGACCAGTAAAAAAATCTGCAAATGTTGCATT